GTTCAGTTCCGAGCACAATTCAAGGTGCTGGTTTTGACCTACAAAACCCTGTACGGTTCCGGTCCAGTGTATCTGTCCGAACGTATCTCCCTCTACGTCCCACCTCGGAGTCTGAGATCATCTGGGGAGGCCCTGCTATCGACCCCACCACTGTCACAAGTGAGGCTGGTGGGGACGAGGAGCAGGGCTTTCTCAGTGGTGGCCCCTCACCTGTGGAACTCACTCCCAGGGGAAATCAGAGCATCATCATCCCTCCTCTCCTTCAGGAGGAGGGTGAAGACGTGGTTATGGGACCAGGCCTTTGGGCAACCAGGCAATTAAATAAGACAATCAGATGAGTAAGACCAGCAGGATTGACAAAGTGGAATCAAAAAACAGATCTAAGAGATAGCGAACACTGACAGTGTAGTAGGAGGAATTGGGTTTGTATTGGTTTCTATTGATTTTATTGGGATAATGCATGAATTGTTGGTAATTGTGCATTTGTAGTTTTGTGACGATTGTTTTGTGATGCAGGCATCTAATCGTGCCTTTGCTGTTGTAAGCCGCCCTGGGTCCCCTTCGGGGTGAGAAGGGCGGGGTAAAAGAACCCCAAATAAATAAATAAATAAATAAATAAATAAATAAATAAATAATGTTATTCTTTTAACTTGTTTTTAACTGTTTTTATCATGTTTAAGTATTGTGTTTGCTTTGTTAACCGCTCTGAGTCGCCCTGAGGGCTGAGAAGAGCAGTATACAAATATAGTAAATAAATAAATAAATATCATGGAGGGACAGAACTTTTATTTGGGGGAGAAGGGGTGTTATATTTTGCTGTAATTCTTATTTCAGAGCAGCATTATTTTGCCAGAATTCTTATTGTGGGGAGGTGAGGGCATTGTTTTGCAACGCTTCCATAGCTACATCTCTGGCATTCCCAATTCAGCGGGAACAGGCATGGAAATAGTGCGCTTGTTCTGACGAGGTTGGAAAAATGTGCAAGCAAACTAGTTGAGTGTCTTTGGGATCGGAGCCAGCGTAAGGTGGCAAATGGTGTAAATATAGAACTCATCTCGCATGAGAGCATCCCACATGACTCCCCGACCCCCCAAATCTGGGATTTTGTTGCCGGGCACCCCATTTGCCCCAAAGGCCCCAGCCTTGGCCCTGCCCTCGTCCCCATCTGTTTCCCTGGGGGAAGGCAGGCGGGGAGGGGCCTCGCTTGGAAACCGCTAATTAAGACCTTGGTGCGTCTAATTAACGCTCTCCCCTTGCAGTGAATTAATTAGGCTCCGAGTTGCCATGGAAATGGGATGTGACCTAGAAACGGAAGCGGGGGATTTGAGGAGAGGGGTGCAATTTGCAGGGGGCAAAGGGGGTTGGCCACCTGCTGAAGCTTTTGAAACAAGATCATGTCTCATCTCAAACCCAAAGTGAACTGGGAGCCTTCAGAGATGTTTATGCATCCCTTGGCTAACCTTCTTGGCATTTACATGGCCGCCTAATACCTTTCCCCGTTTCCTGGCTTCTGTTAACCTCTCACGAGCCCCCTCGTTTATATTGACCTCTTTTCTCCTCTCTGCAAGATCCAGCCTCGGAGAGATGCCGTTCTTGAGCATCTCAACTTTCCGATTTACTACTCTTTTACCTCCTTCCCCTTCTTAATGCCCCGGTCTCCATCCCATGGTGGCTTTTATGGTCAGAGGTGCAGCAAATCTGTGCCAGGTTTAATTTCCTGCAACACAAGATGCCCTCCAAAGTGGGAGGATATCAGGTTCAGCACCTTGGAGAGCAGCCTCATCTCAATCTGTAAGCAAACCAGAGGTGGGTCAACCGTGCTTATAGAAGGAGTGCCGCTTGAGACCACTGACTTTATTTATTTATTTGTATTTTTATTTGGGGTTCTTTTACCCCGCCCTTCTCACCCCGAAGGGGACTCAGGGCGGCTTACAAAGGCAAAGGCACAATTCGATGCCTGCATCATAAAACAATCATATACAAAATTACATCAATTCACAGTTAACAACAATTCATGCATTATAACCATAAAATCAATAAAACCAATACAAACCCAATTTCTCCTCTTACATTGTCAGCGTTCGCTAACTCATAGATCTGGTTTTACGTTCCACTTCATCAATCCTGTTGGTCTTACTCGCCTGATTGTCTGATTTAATTGCCAGAGTGCCCAAAGGCCTGGTCCCATAACCACGTCTTCACCCTCCTCCTGAAGGCGAGGAGGGATGGTGATGCCCTGATTTCCCCGGGAGTGAATTCCACAGGTGAGGGGCCACCACTGAGAAGGCCCTGCTCCTCGTCCCCACCAGCCTCACTTGTGACAGTGGTGGGGTCGAGAGCAGGGCCTCCCCAGATGATCTCAGACTCCGAGGTGGGACGTAGAGGGAGATACGTTCGGACAGATACACTGGACCGGAACCGTACAGGGTTTTGTAGGTCAAAACCAGCACCTTGAATTGTGCTCAGAACTGAATCAGCAGCCAGTGGAGCTGGCACAGCAGGGGGGTGGTATGCTCCCTGTATGTCGCTCCGGTGAGCAGTCTGGCTGCCGCTCGCTGGACTAGTTGAAGTTTCCGAACAGTCTTCAAGGGCAACCCCACGTAGAGTGCGTTGCAGTAGTCTATTCGGGATGTAACAAGAGCGTGGACCACCGTGGCCAGATCAGACTTTACTAGAAGGAGTGCCGTTTGAGACCACTGACTTTACTAGGTGATCCCTCATTGTCCGAGTAAGATTGCCCTCCAAGCTCAGTGTCCTGGTGGTGGGTCCGTAGGTGGCTGTGGAACCCTATTCTTGACCCACAGTGAGGACATTGGTTTCCAGGCGGAAGGTGGTCCCGGTCAGAGTTGGCTTGACTCGCCTTCCTCTTGACACATTTTATCTCTTTCACACTCCACTTATGCCTCTTCAAATTCTACAGCACTGCTAGTCACAGCTGACCTCCAGTTAGAGTGCTCAAGGGCCAAGGCTTCCCAATTCTCTATGTCTATGCCACAGTTTTTAATGTTGGCTTTGAGCCCATCTTTAAATCTCTTTTCCTGTCCTCCAACATTGTGTTTTCCATTCTTGAGTTCACAGTAGAGCAGTGGTTCTCAACCTGGAGTCCCCAGATGTTTTTGGCCTACAACTCCCAGAAATCCTAACAGCTGATAAACTGGCTGAGATTTCTGGGAGTTGTAGGCCAAAAACATCTGGGGACCCCAGGTTGAGAACCACTGGAGTAGAGCAACTGCTTTCGGAGATGGTGGTCGCGCATTCGGATAACGTGGCTGGTCCAGCAGAGTTGGTGGTGTAGGAGCTTGGCTTCAATGCTGGTGGTCTTTGCTTCTTCCAGCACGCTGATATTTGTCTGCCTGTCTTCCCAAGAGATTTGCAGGATTTTTTGGAGGCAACGCTGATGGAATCATTCCAGGAGTTGCATGTGACATCTGTAGATAGTCCACGTTTCACAGGCATATAGCAGGGTTGGAAGGACAATGGCTTTATAAACAAGCCCCTTGGTCTCCCTACAGATGTCCTAGCCCTCAAACACTCTGTGCTTCTGGGTTGTTGAAGGTTTTTTGGGCTATACAGCCATGTTCTAGAAGCATTCTCTCCTGACGTTTCGCCTGCAACTATGGCAAGCATCCTCAGAGGTTGTGAGGTCTCACAACCTCTGAGGATGCTTCCCATAGATGCAGGTGAAATGTCAGGAGAGAATGCTTCTAGAACGTAGCCACATAGCATGAAAAACCTACAACAACCCAGTGATTCCAGCCATGAAAGCCTTCGACAATACACTCGCAGAGCTCAGACGGTGTTGTATTTCAGTGTCAGTGTTGACTTTGGTGGACAGGTGGTTGCCAAGGGAGCAGAAATGGTCAACATGTTCTAATGTTACACCATTAAGCTGTATCTCTGGCATTGGAGAGGGATTGGCTGGAGTCTGCTGGAAGAGCACTTTGGTTTTCTCGATGTTCAATGACAGGCCGAGCTTCTCATATGCTTCTGCAAAGGTGTTTAGAGTGGCTTGTAGGTCTTCTAATGAATGCGCACAGATGATGTTGTCATCAGCATACTGGAGTTCTATAACAGATGTTGTTGAAACCTTGGTTTTGGCTTTCAGTCTGCTGAGGTTCGATAGCTTGCTATCTGTCCGATCAATGATTTCCGCTCCTGTGCTTCTGCAAAGATGTTTAGAGTGACTTGTAGATCTTCTGAATGAGCACAGATGACGTTGTCATCAGCATACTGGAGTTCTATAACAGATTTTGTAACCTTGGTTTTGGCTTTCAGTCTGCTGAGGTTAAATAGCTTGCCATTTGTCTGATCAATGATTTTTCACTCCAGTGCTTCTGCAAAGGTGTTTAGAGTGGCTTGTAGATCTTCTTCTAAATGCGCACAGATGATGTTGTCATCAGCATACTTGAGTTTTATAACAGATGTTGTTGTAACCTTGGTTTTGGCTTTCCGTCTGCTGAGGTTAAACAGCTTGCCATCTGTCTGATCAATGATTTCTGCTCCAATGCTTCTGCAAAGTGAGTGACTTGTAGATCTTCTGAATGAGCACAGACGAAGTTGTCATTAGCATACTGGAGTTCTATAACAGATGTTGTTGTAACCTTGGTTTTGGCTTTCAGTCTGCTGTTATTAAATAGCTTGCTATATGTCTGATCAATGATTTCCGCTCCAGTGCTTCTGCAAAGGTGTTTAGAGTGACTTGTAGATCTTCTGAATGAGCACAGACACATGTTGTCATCAGCATACTGGAGTTCTATAACAGATGTTGAAACCTTGGTTTTGGGTCACTTTGGGAGCCATGGCTGTCCAAGACTGTTACCACACAACCATTACCTGGTATCAAGGAACTGAGTGTTGCGGTTGGGTGGGGGTGAGGTAGTAGTTTGACTTGGAAAGAAAGGAAATTGGAGTGGGGGGGGGGGGGGGAGAGAAAAGAATTCAGCTTTGCTTCTCCACTTCCCTCCCTCACGCCACCCCGTCTCTCCCTTCTCGCCTCGCAGATATCCGGGACAGCGGCAAGAAGCCCGTCATGCTCTTCATCCACGGCGGATCCTACATGGAAGGAACGGGGAACATGTTCGACGGCAGCGTTTTGGCTGCATACGGCAACGTGATTGTCGTCACCATGAACTACCGGCTCGGCGTGCTGGGTACGGGGGAGGCGGGCGCACGGTGCAACTTAGGCAACTCGGGGTGCTCAGGGTCACGACTTCTCCCTTGCAAAAGTTACTTTTGAGGGTAACAACTGCCAGAATCCCAGAGTCCTGGAGGCTGGAGCAAGTGAACCTAAGGGGCAAGAGTCCATTTCCCTCTCACGCCATTCCTCCATTCAGGAAAATAACTTCATTTTCTTCTTTAACCACTCTCAAAATGGCAGGGAAATTGACTCCTGTCATATCTGGGTTGTTGTGAGTTTTCCGGGCTGTATGGCATGTTCCGGAAGCATTCTCTCCTGACGTTTCGCCCACATCTATGGCAGGCATCCTCAGAGATTGTGAGGTCTGTTGGAAAGGATGCAAGTGAGGACTATATACCTGTGGAATTACATCCAAGGTGGGAGACAGAACTCTTGTCTGTTGGAGTCAGGTGTAAATGTTTCCATTGGCCACCTTGATTAGCATACAGCCCGGAAAACTCACAGCATTCTCTCCCGACATTTCGCCCACATCTATGGCAGGCACCCTCAGAGGTGGTGAGGTCTGTTGGAAACTAGGCAAGTGGGGTTTATGTACCTGTGAAATTACATCCAGGGTGGGAGAAAGAACTCTTGTTTGCTTAAGGCAAGTGCGAAAGTTTCCATTGGCCACCTTGATTAATGGTCTTGCAGCATCAAAGCCTGGCTGCTTCTTGCCTAGTGGAAGAGTTCTTTCTCCTACCCTGGACATCATTCCACAGATATATAAACCCCACTAGCCTCTTTTCCAACAGACCTTGAAACCCTTGAGGATGCCTACCACAGATGCAGGCGAAATGTCAGGAGAGAATGCTTCTGGAACATGACCAAACAGCCCGGAACACTCACAGCAACCCAGTGATTCTGGCCATGAAAGCCGGAATGATGTCTACGGTGGGAGAAAGAACTCTTGTTTGTTTAAGGCAAGTGTGAAAGTTGCCATTGGCCACCTTGATTGGCATTTAATGGTCTTGCAGCGTCAAAGCCTGGCTGCTTCCTGCCTGGTGGAAGAGTTCTTTCTCCCACCCTGGACATCATTCCACAGATATATATAAACCCCACTTGCCTCGTTTCCAACAGACCTCAAAACCTTTGAGGATGCCTGCCAGATGCAGGCAAAATGTCAGGAGAGAATGCTTCTGGAACATGGCCAGACACTCACAACAACCCAGTGATACCAGCCATGAAAGCCTTCAAAAATACATCTTGTCATATCATTTAGAAGAGGGAAATGGAGGTATTGCGGAGTCTGGGCTGCTTCTGGGAAAATATATTTTTGCATGTTTTCGTATGTTATAGTTTCTGCATGATTTGGGGGCAAACATTGCATGGAAAACACATCATTTTTTAAAATTATAGGTTATGAGAGGCTTTTGGGACTGGCAAGGGGTCTCACAAGAAATAGGGTTCAGGGACCCACAAACATGATGCTAACCTGTGCCCTAATATATATATATATATTCTATCACTGACTGAAGTAATAACTTTGGGTTTTACACTGAGTTGCTTGTCCAGCCCCAGATTTGTGGACTCTAAAAATCAGCCCAGCCTCCTAATTTGCTCGGGATGGGGGTACACTGGTGGCGAAATGTCAGGAGAGAATGCTTCTGGAACATGGTCAGACAGCCCGGAAAACTCACAGCAACCCAGTGATTCCAGCCATGGAAGGCCTTGTGCCGGCAGGACTGAAGACAGACAGGTTGGAGGTTTGAATCCGTGGAGAGTGCGGGTGAGCTCCCTTTGTCAGCTCAAGCTCCCCATGCAGTGACATGAGAGAAGCCTCCCACCGCTTTGAGTCCCCCTAGGGGTGAGAAAAGCGGTATAGAAATACTGTAAATAAAGGATGGTAAAACATCAAAATATCTGGGCATTCCCTGGCGCAACGTCCTTGCAAATGGCCAATTCTCTCACGCCGGAAGCAACTTGCAGTTTCTCAAGTTGCTCCTGACATTAAAAAAGTGGGAGGTACAATTCTCTTGTGAATGTAGAAAACATGTTTTTTAAAAGCTCTGCCTTTTTTAAAACGCTTCTTCAATGTAATGTGCTTATGTATCTTTCTAATAATAAAGAAAGTAAAATAATAAATGTAATAATAATAATAATAATAATAATAATAATAATAATAATAGAGTCTAATAATAGAGTCAAATAATGGAAGTGTAATAATAAAAATAGGGTAAAATAACAAATAATAATAACAATAATAAATAGAGTAAAATAAAAAATGTAATAATAACAACAATAATAAAGTAAAATAAAAATAAATAGAGAATGTATTAATAAATAATAAATAAAAGATCGAACTGCAAAGACTCCAGCACAAGCCAGTCAAGGTGGTCCCAGTGGTGACGGGCACACTGGGCGCAGTGCCTAAAGACCCTGGCCTGCACTTAAACACAATTGGCGCTGACAAAATTGCCATCTGCCAGCTGCAAAAGGCCACCTTACTGGGATCTGCACGCATTATTCGCCGTTACATCACAGAGTCCTAGACACTTGGGAAGGGTCCGACGTGTGATCCACGTCAGACTTCGGAAGGGTCTGACTAATTTTGTTGTGCTTGAAATAACAACAACAACAACACTCTGTCATAGTAACAATAATACTCATTATTATAATAATAAGACTCTGGCACAAGCCAGTCAAGGTGGTCCCAGTGGTGATGGGCACACTGGGTGAAGTGCCTAAAGACCTTGGCCTGCACTTAAACACAATCGGCGCTGACAAGATTACCATCTGCATTATTCGCCGATACATCACACAGTCCTAGACACTTGGGAAGGGTCCGACGTGTGATCCAATACAACAGCCAGCAGAGTGATCATGTTTGCTGTGTACTAATTTTGTTGTGCTTGAAATAATAATAATAATAACAACAACACTCTGTAATAATAATAATAATAATAATAATAATAATAATAATAAATCTTATTATAATAACAAGACTCTGGCACAAGCCAGTCAAGGTGGTCCCAGTGGTGATGGGCACACTGGGTGCAGTGCCTCAAGACTTTGGCCTGCACTTAAACACAATCGGTGCTGGCAAGATTACCACCTTCCAGCTGCAAAAGGCCACCTTACTGGGATCTGCAGACATTATTTGCCAATACATCACACAGTCCTGGACACTTGGGAAGGTTCCGACGTGTGATCCACAGAGTGTCTGCTGTGGACTCATCTTGTTGTGTTTCTAATAATAATAATAATAATAATAATAATAATAATAATAATAATAATAATAGTATTTTATTTATATCCTGCTACCATCTCCCAGAGGGACTCGGGGCAGCACACAAAATACTCAAGGCTGCACATGCAAAATACAACAAGTGCAAAACAAAACATACAAGTAGACAATAAACAATCACCACAACATCACAAATTCACATTACCTCCTGGTAAAAACAATAAAATACAACAATTACTTTAGATAAAACAACAGTATTCGATTTCAGAAGTATAAAGTGCTAATAAAGAACCTAAAGGCCCAAATATATATTATTCATAGAATCATAGAATCAAAGAGTTGGAAGAGACCTCCTGGGCCATCATCCAGTCCAACCCCATTCTGCCAAGAAGCAGGAATATTGCATTCAAATCACCCCTGACAGATAGCCATCCAGCCTCTGTTTAAAAGCTTCCAAAGAAGGAGCCTCCACCACACTCCGGGGCAGAGAGTTCCACTGCTGAACGGCTCTCACAGTCAGGAAGTTCTTCCTCATGTTCAGATGGAATCTCCTCTCTTGTAGTTTGAAGCCATTGTTCCCCTGCATCCTAGTCTCCAAGGAAGCAGAAAACAAGCTTGCTCCCTCCTCCCTATGACTTCCTCTCACATTTATACATGGCTATCATATCTCTTCTTCAGGCTATACATGCCCAGCTCCTTAAGCCGCTCCTCATAGGGCTTGTTCTCCAGACCCTTGATCATTTTAGTCACCCTCCTCTGGACACATTCCAGCTTGTCAATATCTCTCTTGAATTGTGGTGCCCAGAATTGGACACAATATTCCAGGTGTGGTCTAACCAAGGAAGAATAGAGCATGGGGAGCATGACTTCCCTAGATCTAGACACTAGGCTCCTATTGATGCAGGCCAAAATCCCATTGGCTTCTTTTGCCGCCACATCACATTCCTGGTTCATGTTTAACTTGTTGTCCACAAGGACTCCAAGATCTTATTAGAGAGTCTAAACAAGTAACTTTGCCAACATAACTTTTCTCCTTGGAGATGGCGCATCCTTTTGCACATTCACTGAAATCCCCATAAAGGGAGAGATGTGGCTTGGTAGTAGGGCAGTGTGTTCAGATGCATATAGGCAGAAGGGGTCAGCTGGAGTAATGGACGGGATGCAAAACCAGTCCTCTTTTGGCTTCGGACCCTCTTGTCCAGGGGAGATTCTGGCCTTGATCGTTCACCGCAATCCTTGACTTTCCCGCAGCCCCTTCTCCATCTCCCATCGGGGTCCCTCCCTTCCCGCCCCCTCCCTTTGTTCCCCTTATGGGTGTGAAATTTACCCAGGCGCAGCCGGAATTAATATTTCATTAAAACGCTTTTAATAATTAACGGCAAGGCCTCGTTATCTCCAGCGAAAGGGCCCCAGGACGGAACGATGATTAATTTTGGAGGAGATTGCTCGTGTGCAAACGCAGGGTTTGAGCAAGAGGCAGGAGGCAGGCCTTCCGATCGATCGCTTCCCTTTGGTTGGAAACGGGGGCACAACACCCGCCACTTCCTTCCTTGACATCCTCGCTTTCGGGGAAGAGCTGAGTGAGCATTTAGACTAAGGGAGCATCTACGCTGTAGACTTAACTCAGTTTGACACCACTTGAACCGCTGTGGAATCCTGGGAGGTGTCGTGTGATGGAGAACCTGCAGTCTTGGATAAGGATAAAGACCTTGTAAAACTGCAGCTCCCTAGATCTCTCACCCAGATGCGAGGGTTGAATGAAAAGTAATGCCTCCACCATCGTTACTTGAGTTTGGATGGGAATATTTTAATAACTCCAACGCAGAAATAATCCTTAGAATGTGCTCTTTAACCACCACTATTCACTTTTCCACATAATCACCAGACAATTGGATACATTTCTGCCAACGACGACCAAGTTTCTGAAGCCGTCATGGAAGAAGTCTGTGCGCTTTCATTTAAGGTGTCAGCATCCTGCGTACCCATCATGCACAGATCTTCTGATAGCCAAGCAAAACAATAATGTGACCCACACGTTCTTGTGAAATGCTTGAAATTTCTCTCCGAGTGATACGATGATGGTTCTGAATCAATCTGTCAGCCTTTTGCTTGAATTCAAGGACTGCACGTTGCTCAAGTCTAATTGACCAATTGTCTGCGCAGGGTTCCATACTTCACACTTTAACAACACAACTGTTCAATGCTAAGGCTTCCTGCCAAAATGGGACTGTAGAGGAGAGTCTACTGAACCAGCTAGTACCTGCCGCATATGTTGCTTAAGTTGCATTGACCAACCATCTTCACAGGGTTCCATACTTCACACTTTGACAACATAACCGTTCAATGCTAAGGCTTCCCGCCAAAATGGAACTGTAGAGGAGAGTCTACTGAACAAGCCAGTACCTGTTACATACGTTGCTTAAGTCGCATTGACTGACCATCTGCGTGGGGTTCCATACCTCACACTTTAACAACGCAACTGTTCAATGCTAAGGCATCGTGCCAAAATGGAACTGTAGAGGAGAGTCTACTGAACAAGCCAGTACCTGCTACATACGTTGCTTAAGTCGCATTGACCGACCATCTGCACAGGGTTCCATACTTTGCACTTTAACAACACAACCATTCAATGCTAAGGCTTCCTGCCAAAATGGAACTGTAGAGGAGAGTCTACTGAACAAGCTAGTACCTGCCGCATACCAGTACTGCCATCTGTTGAGGAGTTACGAAGGTGGAGGCATTACTTTTCATTCAACCCTCGTATTAACCAGACCCATTCCTGCTTGGCTTTCAAGTCAGGCAATATTTGGTATATCGTCTAAAGCTTTCATGGCCAGAATCACTGGGTTGTTATAAGTTTTTGGGCTGCCTGGCCATGTTCCAGAAGCATTCTCTCCTGACGTTTCGCCTGCATCTATGGCAGGCATCCTCAGAGATTGTGAGGTCTGTTGGAAACTAGGAAAATGGGGTTTATATGTCTGTGGAAAGTCCAGGGTGGGAGAAAGAACTCTTGTCTGTTTGAGGTAGGTGTGAATGTTTTAGTTGGCCACCTTGATTAGCATTTAATGGCCTTGCAGCTTCAAGGTCTGACTGCTTATTGCCTGTTTATATATTTGTGCAATGTCCAGGGTGGGAGAAAGAACTCTTGTCTGTTTGAGGTGAATGTTTCAGTTGGCCACCTTGATTAGCATTTAATGGCCTGGCAGTTTCAAGGTCTGGCTTCTCATTGCCTCACAACCCAGATCTCACAACCTCTGAGGATGCCTGCCATAGATGCAGGTGAAATGTCAGCAGAGAATGCTTCTAGAACATAGCCAGGCAGCCCAAAACACTTACAATAATCCAATATTTTGTGTCTTCAGGACAGGGTTCATGTTCACAAAAAGGAATGTGGACTACACGTAACTGCCCTCTGCTAATTTTCATCCTGAAAGTTTGACCATGTAACTGCTAGGTTGGCAGAAGCTGGGGCTAACAGTGGGAGCTCACCCCGCTCCGGAAGTATCTTTTTCTCGCTTCTTAAGGGATTCTTCCTATATCCCGCTTCATCCTCCAGTCTACATGGCTGGACGTAAGGGCAAATTGGGGATGAAATGACTGTTGGTAAACACTCAGAAAAAGGACTGGGAATTCTTAGCATTGACTGTTGAGCCATAGGAGTGAAAGCGGTGTCAAACTGCATTCGTTTGACAGTTTAGATGCACTCCTAGTCCATCTCCCAGTGGTTTTTCGCAGCCAAAAGCAGATTCAAACCTGGGTCTCTCAGACTTCTAGAAAAGTTGCGTAGAAACTAAATATATTGATCATACCGTATATACTCGAGTATAAGCTGAGTTTTTCATCCCTTTTTTTAAGGCTGAAAAAGCTCCCCTTGGCTGATACTTAAGTGAAGGTTATTTATTATTTTACTCTATTATTATTATTATTATTATTATTTGAAACACAACAAGGTAAGTCCACAGCAGACAAAATAATAATAATAAATTAATAATGTAATTAAAATAATTAATTTATTATTATTATTATTATTTGAAACACAACAAGATAAGTCCACAGCAGAAATAATAATAATAATAAATTAATAATATAATTAAAATAATTTATTATTATTATTATTATTATTATTATTATTATTATTATTATTATTTGAAACACCACAAGATAAGTCCACAGCAGAAATAATAATAATAATAAATTAATAATATAATTAAAATAATTTATTATTATTATTATTATTATTATTTGAAACACCACAAGATAAGTCCACAGCAGAAATAATAATAATAGTAATAAATTAATAATATAATTAATTATTATTATTATTATTATTATTATTATTATTATTATTATTTGAAACACAACAAGATAAGTCCACAGCAGACAAAATAGTAATAATAATAATTACATTCAATATTTTACTTTAATTATTACATTTACATTATTTTACTCCATTATTATATTTATTATTTTACTCTATTATGAATGTATTGTCGAAGGCTTTCATGGTCAGAATCACTGGGTTGTTGTAGGTTTTTCGGGCTGTATGGCCATGTTCTAGAAGCATTTTCTCCTGACGTTTTGCCTGCATCTATGGCAAGCATCCTCAGAGGTTGTGAGGTCTGTTGTGAGGTCACAACTTCTGAGGATGCTTGCCACAGATGCAGGCGGAACGTCAGGAGAGAATGCTTCTAGAGCATGGCCATACAGCCTAAAAACCCCTAAAACAACCTACTCTATTATTATTATTATTATTATTATTATTATTATTATTATTATTATTATTACGTTTATTATTCTACTCTATTTATTGTTGTTAATACATTTATTATTATTACATTTATTATTTTACTCAATTATTATTGTTGTTATTACATTTACATTATTTTACTCTTATTATCATGATTACATTTTTATTATTTCACTCTATTTATTATTATTTGAAACACAACAAGATGAGTCCACAGCAAACAAGATCACTCTGCTGGCTGTTGAATTGGATCATACGTTGGACACTTCCCAAGTGTCTAGACCTATGTGATGTATCGGCGAATAATGCGTGCAGATCCCTGTAAGGTGGCCTTTTGGCAATTTTGTCAGCACTGATTGTGTTTAAGTGCAGACCAAGGTCTTATGACTGTCTATTTTTGCAAGGAAATAGTCAAAGAGAAAGGGGTTCCTTTTGGGGATTCCCTTCCTTTCCACCCCAAATGTGTCCCAGTAGCAGACGGGTCACCCAAGGTGGTTCTTCCTGACGCCAGGGTTTGCATTTCCTCCTCTTCAGGCTTCATGAGCACCGGCGACCAATCGGCCAAGGGAAACTACGGCCTCCTCGACCAAATCCAGGCCTTACGGTGGTTGAACGAGAACATCGGCCATTTCGGGGGAGACCCCGAGCGGATCACCATCTTCGGCTCGGGGGCCGGCGCCTCCTGCGTCAACCTCCTCATCCTCTCCCACCATTCGGAAGGTAAGCCTTTCCTAAAACACCTGGGCTGGAAAGTCCACCTTTTGCCTCCTTTTTGGGCAGGCTGGTGCAGAATGCAAGTGTGTTGCTAGACATTTCCAATTTGTATGATACCTTTGGCCTTCCAGGTGTTTTGGACTTCAACTCCCATCATTCCCAACAGCCTCAGGCCCTTTCCTTTACCCCCTCAGCTTAAGGGACCTGAGGCTGTTATTTATTTATTTGTCATGTAAGGAGTACAGTTGTAATCTATTTTCAAAGTTTGCAAACTTCTATTAAATTGTATTAAATGTCCTTTGACCAGTAGCTGGCCACTTGGAGTGCCTCTAGTGTTTCTATAAGAAGGGTCTTAGCCTGCCACTTTTGGACTCTCGCTTGCTATAGGAAGTGTCGTAGCCTGCCACTTTTGGACTCTCACTTGCTGAGGTGTTAGTGGCTTAGTCTGCCACTTTTAGACTCTTGTTTGCTGAGGTATTAGTGGCTTAGCCTGCCACTTTTGGACTCTTGCTTGCTATAAGAAGGGTCTTAGCCTGCCACTTTTGGACTCTCCCTTGCTGAGGTGTTAGTGGCTTAGCCTGCCACTTTTGGACTCTTGCCTGCTATAGGAAGGGTCTTAACCTGCCACCTTTGGACTCTCACCTGCTATAGGAAGGGTCTTAGCCTGCCACTTTTGGACTCTCGCTTGCTTAGGTGTTAGTGACTTAGCCTGCCACTTTTGGACTCTCACCTGCTATAGGAAGGGTCTTAGCCTGCCACTTTTGGACTCTCGTGTGCTGAGGTGTTAGTGGCTTAGCCTGCCACTTTTGGACTCTCGCTTGCTATAGGAAGGAGCCTGCCACTTTTGGACTCTCGCTTGCTGAGGTATTAGTGGCTTAGCCTGCCACTTTTGGACTCTCGCTTGCTATAAGAAGGGTCTTAACCTGCCACTTTTGGACTCTCACTTGCTGGGGTATTATTTATTTATCATATCCGGAGCAAACCAATGTATTTGAGAAAACACAAAGTTTAAAAACTTGGCATTCTAGAAAATGTCCTTTGAGCAGTAGCTGTCCACTTGGCGTGCCTCTGGTGTTACTATAAGAAGATCCTCCCTTGTGGGAGGGCTCAGGTTGCATTGTAGTAGGTGGTCTGTGGTTTGCTCTTCTCCGCACTCGCATGTCGAGGATTCCACTTTGTGGCCCCATTTCTGAAGGTTGGCTCTGCATCTCGTGGTGGCAGAGTGCAGCCTGTTCAGCACCTTCCAAGTCTTCTGTCTTCTGTGTGCCCCCGTCTTCTGTGTGCCCAAGGGGGAGTCTCTCATTTGGTATCAGCCATTGATTGAGGTTCTGGGTTTCAACCTACCATGTTTGGACTCTGGCTTGCTGAGATGTTCCTGCAAGTATCTCTGTAGATCTTAGAAAACTATTTCTTGGCTTAAGACTTTGGCATACTGGCTGATACCCAAACAAGGGATGAGCTGGAGATGTCACTACGTTGGTCCTTTCACTATTGGCTGCTACTTCCCGGCAGATGTCAGGTGGTGCAATACTGGCTAAACAGTGTAATTTCTCCAGTGGTGTAGGGCGCAGACACCCTGCGATAATGTGGCATGTCTCATTAAGAGCCGCATCCACTGTTTTAGCGTGGTGAGATGTGTTCCACACTGGGCATGCATACTGAGCAGCAGAGTGTCAAAGCACAAGGGCAGATGGCTTCATTGTGCCTGGTTGTGATCCGCAGGTTGTGCCAGTCAGCTTTCATATAATATTATTTCTAGCACCCACTCTTTGCTTGATATTCAGGCAGTACTTGTTGTAGGTCAGAGAACGGTCCAGGGTAACTCCCAGGTATTTGGGTGTGCTTCAATTCCCTAGTGGGATTTCTTCCCAGGTCATCCTCAGAGCTTGAGATGCTTGTCTGTTCTTAAGATGAAAAGCACATGTCTGTGTTTTAGATGGATTGGGAATTAGCTGGTTTTCCTTGTAATAGGCCGTAAGAACACTTAGAGCTTCAGAGAGCTTCTGTTTAACCATCTCAAAGCTCCCTGCTTGAGCGGTGATGGCATGATCATCAGCATAGATGAAGCTCTCTGTCCCTTCTGGCAATGGCTGGTCATTTGTGTAGATGTTGAACATGGATGGAGCAAGCACGCTCCCCTGAGGAAGGCCGTTCTTCTGTTTCCGCCATCTGCTTCTCTGGCCCTGGAACTCAACAAAAAAGCTCCTGTTTTGTAGCAGGTTTCCTATGAGGCAGGTGAGATGGTAATCCTTTGTGATATTATTAGTTTTTCTCAGGGGAAGGCGATGACTTACAGTGTCATAAGCTGCTGACAGGCCTATGAAGACAGCTCTTGTAATCTGCTGCCTTTCAAAACCATCATACCAGAAGCAACGAGAAACAACCTGAGGCTGTTAGAAATTGTGGGAGTTGAAGTCCAAAACACCAGGAGGGGTAAAGTTTGCCCATGCCTGTCCTAATCCCAGCCTCTACTTTCCAGTCAACCTTCTTAGTAATGTTCTTTTTTCTGAGAGAGCACTTTTCTAGGGATCTCTTGGTCCTCCAGCACCTCTCTGTAGCCAACGTCTGATGGAAGCCAACCTTGAACTGGTGCAGCAAGGAGAGCTTCTCACCTTCCCTTTCTGCCGCCTCCCAAGGTCTTGTGACTGATGATTTCCCTCCCTCTTCCCAGGTCTGTTCCAGAAAGCCATTGCTCAGAGCGGCACAGCCATCTCCAGCTGGTCGGTCAACTACCAGCCCCTCAAGTACACCCGCATGCTGGCCTCCAAGGTGGGCTGCGACCACATGGACACCAGCAACACGGTTGACTGCCTTCGGCGCAAGCCCTACCGGGAACTGGTGGACCAGGACATCCAGCCGGCGCGTTACCACATTGCTTTTGGGCCCGTGGTGGACGGGGATGTGGTGCCGGACGACCCGGAGATCCTGATGCAGCAAGGGGAGTTCCTCAACTACGACATCCTCATCGGTGTCAACCAGGGGGAAGGCCTGAAGTTCGTGGAGGACTCCATGGAGAACGAGGATGGCATTTCGGCCAGCTACTTCGACTTCACCATCTCCAACTTCGTGGACAACTTGTACGGATACCCGGAGGGCAAGGACATCTTGCGGGAGACCATCAAGTTCATGTACACGGATTGGGCCGACCGGGACAACGGCGAGATGCGGCGCAAGACCCTCCTGGCCCTCTTCACGGACCACCAGTGGGTGGCACCTGCCGTGGCCACCGCCAAGCTGCACGCCGAGTACCAGTCTCCCGTCTACTTCTACACCTTCTACCACCACTGCCAGACCGACACGCGGCCCGAGTGGGCAGACGCCGCCCACGGAGACGAGATCCCGTACGTCTTTGGCGTGCCCATGATTGGAGCCACGGACCTCTTCCCGTGCAACTTCTCCAAGAACGATGTCATGCTGAGCGCGGTTGTCATGACCTACTGGACCAATTTTGCCAAGACTGGGTAAGATGACACTCATGGCATTAGCAATTACAATACTTACGTTACTGTTGTCATTTATTTATTCCAGGTGAAGCATTGTCTAAGTTCATAGAATCCTAGAGTTGGAAGAGACCTCATGGGCCATCCAGTCCAACCCCATTCTGCCAAGAAGCAGGAAAATTGCATTCAAAGCACCCCTGACAGATGGCCATCCAGCCTCTGCTTAAAATGCTTCCAAAGAAGGAGCCTCCACCACACTCAGCAGAGAGTTCCACTGCTGAACGGCTCTCACAGTCAGGAAGTTCTTCCTCATGTTCAGATGGAAACTCCTCTCTTGGTGTGGTGGAGGCTCCTTCTTGGAAGCTTTTAAACAGAGGCTGGATGGCCATCTGTCAGGGGTGATTTGAATGCAATATTCCTGCTTCTTGGCAGAATGGGGTTGGACTGGATGATGGCCCAGGAGGTCTCTTCCAACTCTTTGATTCTATGATTCTATAGTTTGAAGCCATTGCTCCATTGTGTCCAAGTCTGCAGGGAAGCAGAAAACTGTTGTTGAAGGCATGCAACCTAAAATACATGTACATACATGGGGGATGGAGGGAGTAATACAACATAATAGAACAAATTATCCAGATTGAAATACAAAAACCAATAGAATATACTATAAAACAAACTGACAAATACATACAAGTGTTCCCTCACTTATTGTGGGTGTTACGTTCCACAACCACCCACGAAAAGTGAAAATCCGCAAAGTAGCGATGCTCTATTTATCTTAATATTTAGACATTATTTTAGTACTTATACACTATTTCTGCGTTTCTCAACCTGGGGGTCGGGATCTCTAGGGGGGTTGCAAGGGGGTGTCAAAGGTGTCGCCAAAAAACCTCAGAAAACACAGTATTTTCTGTTGGTCGTGGGTGTTCTGTGTGGGAAGTTTGGCCCAATTCTATCACTGGTGGGGTTCAGAATGCTCTGTGATTGTAGGTGAACTATAAATCCCAGCAACTACAACTCCCAAATGTCAAGGTTCTATTTCCCCCAAACTCCCCCAGTGTTCACATTTCAGCATATTAGGTATCGTGCCAAGTTTGGTCCAGATCCATCATAGTTTGAGTCCACAGTGCTCTCTGGATGTACGTAAACGACAACTCCCAAACTCAAGGTCAATGCCCAACAAACTGTCCCGGTATTTTCTGTTGGTCATGGGAGAACTGTGTGCCAATTTTGGTTCAATTCCATCGTCAATTCCATCGTTGATTGTAGATGAACTATAAATCCCAGCAACTACAACTCCCAAATGTCAAGATTCTATTTTTCCCAAACTCCACCAGTTTGGGATATTGAGTATTGAGTATACATTTGGGCATATTGAGTATTCGTGTAGAGTTTGGTCCAGATCCATCATTGTTTGAGTCCACAGTGCTCTCTGGATGCAGGTAAACTACAACTCCCAAACTCAAGGTCAATGCCCACCAAACTGTCCCAGTATTTTCTGTTGGTCATGGGAGAACTGTGTGCCAAGTTTGGTTCAATTCCATCATTGATGGAGTTCAGGATGCTCTTTGATTGTAGGTGAACTATAAATCCCAGCAACTACTACTCCCAAACGACAAAATCAACTCTACACAAATACTCCATATGCCACTGCTGCTCTCTAGGGTGCTTTCCCTCCTCAGTCCTCCCTACCTCCAGCCTTGAATGGCCTTTCCTTCCTTTCCTTCCCTTTATTGTAAGTTTATAAAGACTTAAAATAGTTTATAACTACTAAAATCTATATAAATAAAAATGTAATGTTCGTTTGTGGGATTAACTCAAAAACCCCTGGACGAATTGACACCAAAGTTGGACACAATACACCTAACAGTCCAACAAATGTCCATCACTCATAAAAACACTAAAAATCACCATTAGCACTGAATGTCCTTGCAGCTTCATGGTCTGGCTGCTTACTACCTGGGGGGATCCTTTGTTGGGAGGTGAATCACAGCAGTCCTGTGAAATGTCCAGGGTGGGAGAAAGAACTCTTGTCTGTTGGAGGCAGGTGTGAATGTTGCAGTTGGCCACCTTGATTAGCACTGAATGGCCTTGCAGCTTCAAGGTCTAGCTGCTTACTACCTGGGGGAATCCTTTTTTGGGAGGTGAATCACAGCAGTCCTGTGAAATGTCCAGGGTGGGAGAAAGAACTCTTGTTTACTTGAGGCAGGTGTGAATGTTGCAATTGGCCACCTTGATTAGCACTGAATGGCCTTGCAGCTTCAAGGTCTGGCTGCTTACTACCTGGGGGAATCCTTTGTTGGGAGGTGAATCACAGCAGTCCTGTGAAATGTCCAGGGTGGGAGAAAGAACTCTTGTCTGTTGGAGGCAGGTGTGAATGTTGCAATTGGCCACCTTGATTAGCACTGAATGGCCATGCAGCTTCAAGGTCTGGCTGCTTACTACCTGGGGGGATCCTTTTTTGGGAGGTGAATCACAGCAGTCCTGTGAAATGTCCAGGGTGGGAGAAAGAACTCTTGTCTGTTGGAGGCAGGTGTGAATGTTGCAATTGGCCACCTTGATTAGCACTGAATGGCCATGCAGCTTCAAGGTCTGGCTGCTTACTACCTGGGGGGATCCTTTTTTGGGAGGTGAATCACAGCAGTCCTGTGAAATGTCCAGGGTGGGAGAAAGAACTCTTGTCTGTTGGAGGCAGGTGTGAATGTTGCAATTGGCAAAAGCCAAAAAAATACATTACAACACATGCACAAAACCACTTATATACACATATACATAAATATATACACCCATATATACACACACACATTTATCATGTCATCAGCAATCAGACATTTGTATTACATTTTTAACAAAAACAAACAGACAAAACACAGAATTTGCAAGCTTGGTAGTTGATTAAATGTCCTTTGACCAGTATCTGGCCCCTTGGCGTGCCTCTGGTGTTTCTGCAAGAAGGTCCTCCATGGTGCATGTGGCAGGGCTCAGGTTGCATTGCAGCAGGTGGTCAGTGGTTTGCTCCTCTCCACACTCGCATGTCGTGGATTCCACTTTGTGGCCCCATTTCCGAAGGTTGGCTCTGCATCTCGTGGTGCCAGAGCGCAGTCTGTTCAGCGCCTTCCAAGTCGCCCGTCTTCTGTGTGCCCAGGGGGGAGTCTCTCATTTGGTATCAGCCATTGGTTGAGGTTCTGGGTTTGAGCCTGCCACTTTTGGACTCTCGCTTGCTGAGGTGTTCCAGCGAGTGTCTCTGTAGATCTTAGAAAACTATTTCTTGATTTAAGTTGTTGACGTGCTGGCTGATACCCAAACAAGGGATGAGCTGGAGATGTCACTGCCTTGGTCCTTTCACTATTGGCTGCTACTTCCCGGCGGATGTCAGGTGGTGCAATATCGGCTAAGCAGTGTAATTTCCTCTCTGTGTGCCCAGGGGGGAGTCACTCCTTTGGTATCAGCCATTGTTGAGGTTCTGGGTTTGAGCCTGCCACTTTTGGACTCTCGCTTGCTGGGTGTTCCAGCAAGTGTCTCTGTAGATCTTAGAAAACTATTTCTTGATTTAAGTCGTTGACGTGCTGGCTGATACCCAAACAAGGGATGAGCTGGAGATGTCACACACACATAAGACATATACACAGACTGGGCCACAGCAACCCGTGGCAGGGGATGGCTAGTAATGTATAAATATTAAAATAAATATAGTGTCCCTTATTGCGGGAGGTCCTGGAATGTAACCCCCACAATAAGTGAGGGAACATTGTATACCCAGGTTATAGAAGGGTACAAACAATATTAAATGACAATTCCAAATGCTTTGGAAAGCAAGGAAGTGTTGAATTGAGATTTCAAAGCAGTGCAAATGTCTGCAAATGTCGAGGGAGCCGGGAGTGAAAAAGGACGACGCTGAGCCAAACCTTTGGCTGAGTGAGAAGCCTGTAATTCTCGGATGCAGAAAGCAACGAGGGCTGAAAGATGGGAGAGATCTAAGTCGTGGAGGATTTCCCAGCCTTTGAGGCTGCTCCCTCTTCTAGAAAGGCTCAACTGGTCCCCTCCGTGGCTTCTCCGTGGCAGGCAGACCTTTCGGAATTTGCCATGGGAAAAGGTTATTCAATAACGGTCCCGTTCCGTTGTGTTTCGCTTTGATGTATCTCAGTTGCTTTTCCCCCCCTAACTGAATGGGGTCAGTGACTATTGCAGGCCACTCCGGCATATCCAGCTGTGGCAGGTGTGAGATTGTGTGACTTCTGGCCACCATGTTTGGGCCAGTTTTCAACCTTTCTCTGGAAGTGGGAGTAGGGTCCGGTTTTCTGGCTGACTAGCTGTTTCTTTCAGTGGAAAGTCTTATTATTGTCTTGCCAAAAGTTTTCATGGCCGGAATCACTGGACTGCTGTGAATCACCTCCCAAAAAAGGATCCCCCCAGGATGTAAGCAGCCAGACCTTGAAGCTGCAAGCCCATTCAATTCCGAATGCCTGGGGGAATCCAACAAAGGATTCCCCCAGGTAGTAAGCAGCCAGACCTTGAAGCTGCAAGCCCATTCAATTCCGAATGCCTGGGGGAACCCAACAAAGGATTAACACCAGGTAGTAAGCAGCCAGACCTTGAAGCTGCAAGCCCATTCAATTCCAAATGCCTGGGGGAATCCAAGAAAGGATTCCCCCAGGTAGTAAGCAGCCAGACCTTGAAGCTGCATGGCCATTCAGTGCTAATCAAGGTGGACAATGGCAACATTCATACCTGCCTCAAGCAGACAAGAGTTCTTTCTCCCACCCTGGACATTTCAGAGGACTGCTGTGAGTCACCTCCCAACAAAGGATTCCCCCAGGTAGTAAGCAGCCAGACCTTGAAGCTGCAAGGCCATTCAGTGCTAATCAAGGTGGCCAATTGCAACATTCACACCTGCCTCAAGTAAACAAGTGCTCTTTCTCCCACTCTGGACATTTCACAGGACTGCTGTGAGTCACCTCCCAACAAAGGATTCCCCCATGTAGTAAGCATCCAGACCTTGAAGCTGCAAGGCCATTCAGTGCTAATCAGGGTGGCCAGTTACAACATTCGCACCTTCCTCTAACTGACAAGAGTTCTTCCTCCCACCTGGACATTTCACAGGACTGCTGTGATTCACCTCCCAACAAAGGATTCCTCCATGTAGTAAGCAGCCAGACCTTGAAGCTGCAAGGCCATTCAGTGCTAATCAAGGTGGCCAGTTGCAACATTCACACCTTCCTCTAACTGACAAGAGTTCTTTCTCCCGCCCTGGACATTATTCCAACCCTGGAGGGAGGGCCGAGTTGGACCCTCCCTCTGGGTGTTTTGGACTCCAACTCCCACAATTCCTAACAGCTTCAGGCCCCTTCCTTTACCCCCTCAGCCGCTTAAGCGGCTGAGGGGGTAAAGGAAGGGCCTGAAGCTGTTAGGAATTGTGGGAGTTGGAGTCCAAAACACCCAGAGGGCCAAACTTTGCCAACGTCTCCGCTAGAAAGTAATTTCCTGGGTGGATTTCTCACCACTTTGCCCTTGTTAATTATTATTATTATTATTATTATTATTATTATTAGTTGTTGTTGTTGTTGTTGTTGTTAACCATATCCTTCCTCTGTGTCTCCCTGGTTTCCTCAGAGATCCAAACCAGCCGGTTCCGCAGGACACCAAGTTCATCCACACCAAACCCAACCGCTTCGAGGAGGTGGTCTGGACCAAGTTCAACACGAAAGACAAGCAGTACCTCCACATCGGCCTCAAGCCCCGGGTGCGCGACAACTACCGGGCCAACAAGGTGGCCTTCTGGCTGGAGCTGGTGCCCCACCTCCACAACCTCCACGAGCCCCCCTACACCTCCACCACCACCCGCATCCCGCCGGCCGTCACCCGCTGGCCCAGCACAGGGCCGCTGACCACCCGCCGACCCATGCCCACGCTCCCCGTGGATGAGGACGACGTGGTGCGGCCGCAGCGCTACGTGCCCTTCCCGGGAGACTCGCGGGACTACTCCACGGAGCTGAGCGTCACGGTGGCCGTGGGGGCCTCCCTCCTCTTCCTCAACATCCTGGCCTTCGCCGCCCTCTACTACAAGCGGGACAAGCGGCACGAACTGCGGAGCGGGCGGCGGCTCAGCCCCCAGCGCAGCGCGGCCAACGACCTGGTGCACGGCGGGCAGGAGGAGGAGATCATGTCCCTCCAGATCAAGCACTCGGAGCACGACGCCCATGACCTGGAGCCCCTGCGGCCCCACGAGATCCTGCGCCCCGCCTGCCCCCCCGACTACACCCTGGCCCTTCGCCGGGCCCCGGACGATGTCCCCCTGATGACCCCCAACACCATCACCATGATCCCCAGCACGATCACGGGCATGCAAGCCCTGCACCCCTTCAACACCTTCCCCACCGGACACAATAACACGCTCCCCCACCCTCATTCCACCACCCGCGTATAGTCGCCCTCCCCTCTGTACCCTTTCGGCCGCCCGGCAGCAGCGGTGGGGGTCCTCGCCCCGCTGCCCGGAAGGAGGGAGGCGCCTTTCCCCGCCATGTTGGACGGGTCTTTTGTATAACATTCTGTGCGCGGGGAGGGGAATGGCAAGGGGGCGGGGGGAGAGAGGCCGAGACCCCCCTCTCCTTCCATCCGCAGGGTCCGGCGGTGCTCTGCCCGCTCTCGGTTTGATGCCCACCCTTGGAGGCCAGAAACGGGCCGCATGGAGGATCGGTCCCCTGTTCAAGCAGAGAGAGAAAATGAGAGAAATAGGGGTGACGTTGAGACCGGGGTCCTTTCGGGGTCGCCAAAGGGGAATGACGAGGAAGTGAAACATCTCTGATTTGGACAGATCACAGGAAACCCGGTGCCATTCCAACTGTGGGTCTGGGGTTCAGGCAAAAGCAGCGGTTGGAAAAGTAGACCTGCAATCTTGTCTTCATTTCCTCTCCTCCGGATGGTGAAGACAACTTATGATATAGGTGGAGGGGGGGGGCTGGGCAGGGGCCGAGAGCAAGAACGCCCCGTCCTCGGTTCACCTTGTTGGGAAAGGCAGCCGCTCTATTGCTCAAATGGTTCACGTCACGAGACACGCGACTGGGTTTGCTCAGAGGGTAATGGAGAAGTCAACACTGAAATGGGAGAGCGACGAGAACGGCACTTGTGTCTTCTCTCAGTGAGGAGGAGAACCACATTCAGTGCACGGCACATTCTGGGCACTGCCGAATATTCCTTTGTAGCCGAGAAGGAGTTAGCGTAAGGACAAAAGGTCAATCCTCTTCCATTCTGTATACTTTTGCGCTTGCGTTGTAATGTCATTCCAAGGGAGCGATGGCGTTGTGGGGCGGAAGAAGGTCACTGAGCAGGGAAGAGGGGTCGGCCTCCCTTCTGTCCTTCCCAAGGGGGCAGGAGGTCACATCACAGTGCCTTCTTAGCACAGTCCAGAGAGAGAAGTGGGCCGCCTCCGCCTCGTCCCCTTGGCATTCTCTCCAATGCCTCCTCCTTCATGGCAAACATTTTGGTCACCATTCGTTGGTCTTCTGGAACACAACGATGCATAGTTTTACCAAGATATAGTTCCTCCCAGAGCAGTGTTTCTCAACCTGGGGGTCGGGACCCCTGAGGGGGTCATGAGGGGGTGTCAAAGGGGTTGCCAAAGACCATCAGAAAACATAGTATTTTCTGGTGGTCATTGGGATTCTGTGTGGGAAGTCTGACCCAATTCTATTTTTGGTCGAGTTCAGAAGGCTCTTTGATTGTAGGTGAACTATAAATCCCAACAACTACAACTCCCAAATGTCAAGGTCTATTTTCCCCAGACTCTACCAGTGTTCACATTTGGGCATATGGAGTATTCGTGTAGAGTTTGCCCCAGATCCATCATTGTTTGAGTCCACAGTGATCTCTGGATGTAGGTGGACTACAACTCCAAAACCAAAGGACACTGCCCACCGAATCCTGAGTATTCGTGCCTAGTTTGGTCCAGATCCATCACTGCATGAATCCACAGCGCTCCTCTGGATATAGGTGAACTACAACTCCCAATCTCAAGGCCAATGCCCATAAAACCTTTCCCGTGTTTTCTGTTGGTCATGGGAGTTCTTTGTGCCAAGTTCAGTTTAAATCCATCGCTGGTGGAGTTCAGAATGCTTTTTGATTATAGGTGAACTATAAATCCCAGCAACTACAACTCCCAAATGACAAAATCAATCCTCCCCCAACCCCACTAGCATTCACATTTGGGCGTATTGGGTATTTGTTCTCAGTTTAGTCCAGTGAATGAAAACACATCCTGCATATCGGATATTTACATTACGATTTATAACAGTACTAAAATGACAGGTATCAAGTAGCAACGAAAACAATATTATGGTTGGGGGTCACCACAACATATGGAACGGCATTAAGGGGTCCCGGCATTAGCAAAGTTGAGAACCACTGTCCCAGAGGATTGCCAGTTGTGGCAACTTAATGGGCCTCTGATAAGGTAACAGAAAACAAGAAAAAGGAGTAAAAGTCCAGAATGAAATTCAGAGAGGGTTTCAACCTGGGGTCATGAGACCCTTCCTCTTCTTTGTTTATCGGAGCTTGGCAGAGAGGGCAAGCCTTTGGTTTGAGGAACGCTGTTATAAAATCCTAGAATCAAAGAGTTGGAAGAGACCTCATGGGCCATCCAGTCCAACCCATTCTGCCAAGAAGCAGGAATATTGCATTCAAATCACCCCTGACAGATGGCCACCCAGCCTCTGTTTAAAAGCTTCCAAAGAAGGAGCCTCCACCACACTCCGGGGCAGAGAGTTCCACTGTTGAATGGCTCTCACAATCAGGAAGTTCTTCCTCATGTTCAGATGGAATCTCCTTTCTTGTACTTTGAAGCCGTTGTTCCGCGTCCTAGTCTCCAGGGAAGCAGAAAACAAGCTTGCTCCCTCCTCCCTGTGGCTTCCTCTCACATATTTATACATGGCTATCATATCCCCTCTCAGCCTTCTCTTCTTCAGGCTAAACATGCCCAGCTCCCCAAGCCGCTCCTCATAGGGCTTGTTCTCCAGACCCTTGATCATTTGAGTCGCCCTCCTCTGGACACATTCCAGCTTGTCAATATCTCTCTTGAATTGTGGTGCCCAGAATTGGACACAATATTCCAGGTGTGGTCTAACCAAGGCGGAATAGAGCATGGGGAGCATGACTTCCCTAGATCTAGACACTAGGCTCCTCTTGATGCAGGCCAAAATCCCCTTGGCTTTTTTTGCCGCCACATCACATTGTTGGCTCATGTTTAACTTGTTGTCCACGAGGACTCCAAGATCTTTTTCACACGTACTGCTCTCAAGCCAGGCATGTCCCCCATTCTGTATCTTTGCATTTTGTTTTTTCCTGCCAAAGTGGAGTATCTTGCATTTGTCCCTGTTGAACTTCATTTTGTTAGTTTTGGTCAATCATCTCTCTAAACTGTCAAGATCGTTTTGAATCCTGCTCCTGTCCTCTGGAGTATTGGCTATCCCTCCCTATTTGGTGTCATCTATTAGAACAAGGCCGAAATTTGAGGGTGAGAATGGGCACGGCACAAGGCAGTGGTTGGGAGACCATGTTTATTTTCCTCCCATGTATGTATTTTCCCTCTTTCCACCTTTCCAAAACAAAACAAGAGGACACAAACTGGGAAAGGGGACGAGGGGAAGAGTTTACAAACAGAGAAAGAGCTGCCAATAGAGGACACAATGCATGTTTTGCCTTTATTATTTTTCTTAAGCGTTAGGCAAGGAAAGGGATCGGTGCTGCAGATCGGCTTTGGACTCCCGCTTGCCTTCTGGTCTGGAGAATGCAGCATCTCCAACTCCCCCCCCTCCCCCACCAACCCCATTATTTGTTCCTAAATCAGCATTTTTTCCCCTTCTCCTCCAAAGAACCTCCTTAAGGCAGGAGCTGTTGGACGGTAGAATTGATTCTCCTGGGTTGGGGATTTGGAAGGAGTCCCCAAATGTCCAGCATTGCAGTAAATGAACTAAAACTTGCATTGAGCATTTAAGAATATTGTATTGTTGAAGGCTTTCATGGCTGGAATCACTGGGTTGTTGTAGGTTTTTCCAGGTTATATGGCCATGTTCTAGAGGCATTTTCTCCTGACGTTTCGCCTGCATCTATGGCAAGCATCCTCAGAGGTAGTGAGGTCTGTTGGAAGTAGGAAAATGGGTTTATGTATCTGTGGAATGACCAGGGTGGGACAAAGGACTTTTGTCTGCTGGAACTAGGTGTGAATGTTTCAACTGACCACCTTAATTAGCATTTGACACAGCATATTATTTGAGAACACAGTGTGACTGTTTCAACTGACCACCTTGATTAGCATATAATGGCTTGGCAGTGCCTGGGGGAATCTTTTGTTGAGAGGTGATTAGATGTGCCTGATTGTTTCCTCTCTGTTGTTTTGCTGTTGTAATTTTAGAGTTTTTTTAATACTGGTAGCCAGATTTTGTTCATTTTCATGGTTTCCTCCTTTCTGTTGCAATTGTCCACATGCTTGTGGATTTCAATGGCTTCTCTGTGTAGTCTGACATGGTGGTTGTGAGAGTGGTCCAGCATTTCTGTGTTCTCAAATAAATGCTGTGTCCAGGTTGTAATCAAGGTGTCAGTTGAAACATTCACACCTAGCTCCAGCAGACAAGAGTCCTTTGTCCCCACCCTGGTCATTCCACAGATACATAAACCCTTTTCCCTAGTTCCAATAGACCTCACTACCTCTGAGGATGCTTGCCATAGATGCAGGCGAAACATCAGGAGAAATTGCCTCTAGAACATGGCCATATAGCCCGGAAAAACCTACAACAACCCATTTAAGAATATTGTTTCAGCGTCCAGAACAAACAGGGAAAGCATCTGACATGGGGAAGACGTTTATTTTTCGTGTCAGGAGCAACCTGAGAAACTGCAACTCACTTCTGGTGTGAGAGAATTGGCTATCTACATGGATGTTGCAGATGTTTTGATGGTTTGCCATCTTTGTGGGAGGCTTCTCTCATGTCCCCGCATGGGGAGCTAGAGCTGACAAAGGGAGCTCATCCACTCTCTCCCTGTGACCTGTCGGTCTTCAGTCCTGCCGGCACAAGGGTTCAACCCATTGCGCCATTGGGGGCTCCTGAAAAGACGAATGCAGCACAGATTGACGTTTTAGGCGTAAAGGATTTCTTAAGTTTCATCCTTTGTGAAACTGGAAAGCGTATATTTGTTTTGGAGATGGCAGGACTCTTATTTGTAGGGCCAGGTCCTCATTTTGACTCACTCACAAGGAATTGGCAAAGGGGTGCCTTTGAAAGCCAAGGGACTCTGGGTGCATTTAGACCAGGCATGTTTTGGACTCCAACTTCCACAGTTCCTAACAGCCGGTAGGGAGTTCACTGGAGCCTCCTTCTCTGAGGCCAGATGGATGTCTGTCAGGAGGGCTTGGATTGTGTCTTTCAGCCTAGCCGGAAGGTGGGAAGACTGGCTTTTAGGGTCTCTTCCCAATGATGGAGTTGGTGCCGTGGTCACCCCTTTTCTTGGGGAAAGAAAATGGGTATCTGGAGGACCTAGAACAAGTATGGCAAACCCAAGCCCGGGGGCTGGATGTGGCCCCTTGGGCTCTTTTCTCAGGCCCTCCTCTCTCTCATCATCCTAACTTTCTTTCCTTCTCTTTCCTGCCTCCTTACCTCCCTCTTTCTCCCTCCTTCCTCCCCTTTGTCTTCCTTCTTCTCTCTTTCCTCCCTCCCCTCCCTCCCACCCTTCCTCCTCTTTCATTCTTCCTTCCTTCTCTTTTTCTGTCCTCCCTCCCTCCCTTCCTCCTTCCTTCCCTCCTTCTTTCTCCTTTCCCTCCCACTTTTTTGTCCTTCCTTCCCTCTTTCCTCCCCTCTGTCTCTTTCTCCTTCCTTCTTTCCCTTTTGTCTTCCCTTCTTTCTCCCTTTCCTCCCTCCCTTTCCGCCCCTTCCATCCTTCCTTCCATCCATCCATTTTTCTATTCCTTTCTTCTTTCTCTTTTTCCTTTCTCCTTTCCTTCCTTCCCTCCTTCTTTCTCCCTCCCTCCTCCCCTTCCACCCTTTTGTCCTTCCATCCCTCTTTCCTCCCTCCTTCCCTCTCTCTCTTTCTCCTTCCTTCTCTTTTGTCTTTCCTTCTTTCTCCCTTTGCTCCCTCGCTCCCCTCCCCTTCCACCCTTCCTTCCTCCCATCCATCTTTCTATTCCTTTCTTCTTCCTTTTTCCTTCCTCCTTCCTCCTTTCTTCCCTTCCCTTTTGTCTTTCCTTCCTTCTCTCTTTCCTTCCTCCCTCCCTCCTTCTTTCCACCTCCTTTCTCCTTCCCTCTTTCCTCCCTCCTTCCCCTTTGTTTTTTCTTCCTTCTCTCTTTCTTCCTCCCTCCTCCCCTTCCACCCTTTTGTCCTTCCCCCTCTTTCCTCCCTCCTTCTCTCTCTTTCTTCTTCATTCCCTTTTGTCTTTCCTTCTTTCCTCCCTTCCTTCCCTCCCCTTCCACCCTTCCTTCCATCCATCTTTCTATTACTTCCTTCCTTCTTTGTTTCCTACCTCCTTTTCTCCTGGGGAGAAAGAGAAGATAGCAAAGGAACATGAGAACCATGTTTCAAGATTTCAAAGGGTGTCCCATTGAGGAGGAGGAGGGAGAAAACTGACTTTCTGCTGCTCTAGAGACCAGGGCACAAGGGAGCCATGGGTTCAAATGGCAAGAAAAGAGCTTCGACTGAAAATATTAGAAAGAACTTCCTGAGAGTAAGAGCTGTTGGAGAGCGGCATAGGCTACCTTAGAGTGTGGTGGTGTCTCCTTCTCTGGAGGCTTTTCCACCAAGGCTATCTGTCGGGAGTGCTTTGATTGTGCCTTCTTGCATGGCAGGGGGTTGGACTGGATGGCCCTTGGGGGTCCCTTCCCACTCTAGGATTCTATATCGGGAGGAGGAAATACAGGGTCTAATGGATACACTTTATCTCTCCTGCCCACTATCTCATCCTGATCCAAACGTTTCCTAACTTTTCTTCACTTTTTGCCTCCGAAAGAGAAGAGGAAGGGGAGGAAAGGGCAGAAAGGGGGCTTGGGGAGAACCCCCTCCCTCCTGGCTCATCCACACTGCTCCGGCATGTCGTGCGGCCCCCAAGTTAGAAAGTTTGCCCATGCCTGGCTTAGAGCCTACATGCCACCCTCCCCAACTCCAGAAGCCATTCCTTGGTTGCTTCTTTGCATTGCGCCAGATGCACGCATGCTCCCAATGCTCCAAATATCCCATGTCGTGAATGCATTGTCTCCTTGATTCAGCCACACAGATCCCTTCTGAGGAAGATGGTCATTCCCTATGGACCCGTCACGTCCTCCATTCCTTCTCTTTGCATTAGATCCAAGGTTGCCACACTTTCTGGAATCCCATGAGACACAAAGAAGGAAATAGCAATTCCTTTTACAGCCAGCCCTCCACATTCGCAGGGGTTCAGTGCAAGATGGAAATACTATACATTCAAAACAAACATTTTAATCAAAGCCACCAATATGGAGGGCAGCCTGTAATGTAAGATGGTCATTCCCTATGGACCCGTCCCATCTTCCATTCCTTCTCTTTGCGTAAAATCCAAGGTTGCCTCTGAAGATTCCATTAGCCACAGATGCAGGCAAAATATCAGGAGGGAATGCTTCTGGAACAGGGCCATGCAGCCCGAAAAACTCACAACGTTCTCTCCTGACGTTTTGCGTGCATCTGTGGCTAGCATCTTCAGAGGTTTCTTCAGAGGCCTGTTGGAAATGAAGCAAGTGGGGTTGGAATAATGTCCAGGGTGGGAGAAAGAACTCTTCTCTGTTGGAGGCAGGTGTGAATGTTGCAATTGGCCGCCTGGATTAGCACTGAATGGCCTTGCAGCTTCAAGTTCTGGCTGCTTAATACTTGGGGGAATCCTTTGTTGGGAGGTGAATCACAGCAGTCCTGTGAAATGTCCAGGGTGGGAGAAAGAACTCTTGTCTGTTGGAGGCAGGTGTGAATGTTGAAATTGGCCACCTTGATTAGCACTGAATGGCCATGCAGCTTCAAGGTCTGGCTGCTTACTCCCTGGGGGGATCCTTTTTTGGGAGGTGACTCACAGCAGTCCTGTGAAATGTCCAGGGTGGGAGAAAGAACTCTTCTCAGTTAGAGGAAGGTGTGAATGTTGCAATTGGCCACCTTGATTAGCACTGAATGGCCTTGCTGCTTCAAAGTCTGGCTGCTTACTACCTGGGGGAATCCTTTGTTGGGAGGTGAATCACAGCAGTCCTGTGAAATGTCCAGGGTGGGAGAAAGAACTCTTGTCGGTTGGAGGCAGGTGTGAATGTTGCAATTGGCCACCTTGATTAGCACTGAATGGCCTTGCAGCTTCAAGTTCTGGCTGCTTAATATTTGAGGGAATCCTTTGTTGGGAGGTGACTCACAGCAGTCCTGTGAAATGTCCAGGGTGGGAGAAAGAACTCTTGTCGGTTGGAGGCAGGTGTGAATGTTGCCATTGGCCACATTGATTAACACTGAATGGCCATGCAGCATCAAAGTCTGTCTGCTTACTGCCATTCCATTCCTTCTCCTTGTGTAAGATCCAAGGTTGCCACACTTTCTGGAATCCCTCTCTTTGTGTTAGACCCAAGTCT